TCTTTCCCTCTCTGCCCCTAAACTCCACCACTGCACCTTTTTGTACAACTTTTGCTTTTCCCCTTCTATACAAATTATTAAATCTCATGATTATGAAAGTATTCTGGCCAGTTTGTAACAAATTTCTTCTGCCTTTAAAGGCTTACATTTTCTCTAGTGAAATGTAATCTATTCTTTAATATCACTCAAAATTTAATCTATTATTTCACCAGTATGTAAGTGGCCTAAATTCATTTGTGAGTCAGAAACCATCAAGATTCTTTGCTTTCTCCCTCCTGGCCTGACTGTAGGGGAAAAAAACATTACTCATTTCTTAATGAAAATGAAAATTTAAGGTTTGCTTTTTCCAACTAAAGTAAGAATCCTGATCCACTTATTTGTGTATACTTGCTGTCTACAGTGGTGCCTGACATACAGTGTGTGAATAGTACCAATAACAAAATGAAAGATCCTCCCATGGGAAAGATGCAGTGACTGCGATCCAGGGTGGTCTTTTCTTTAAAGCCCTCAGGAATTCACCACAGGCACTATAAAGCCATAAGAGATGGGCCTCATGTTCCAAGGTACGTTCACCCACAAACTTGCAGGGGGAAAACTGAATACACTGTTTAAATGAGAGAATCGCCCCTTCTTTTCTTTTTTCATCTATGCTTTTATTGTGGGTAACAAGTGTTACTCTATTTTAAAAGTCTAAACCACAATGAGCAGAGGAGGGAAGGAACAAATCATTCCGGATACCTATTTCACTTTTACTTTTTCACACTGGCATTAACAAACAAATTAAAGAAAAGCAGGGAGGTCAGAACAGAGGAAGGAGGATGGAACAAGGGAAAGGAAGGAGGGAAGAGAGGGGGATGGGAAAGGGAGGAGGAGTAAGAGAAAGGAAGCAGAAACTGTGAACTCTGCTGGTTACTTTCCATTTGCTAATTCAAGGAAGGCCTCTTTCCATCCTCCTCCATCCTTCTCTCTGCCCTAAGAGGTGGACTTACATGATGTTAGTAAGAGCACCCCTCTTCTCTGGCTTTTGTTTGGGTTTGGCCAGTGGTGAGGCTGGGCAGGTGAGGAGACTGGAAGAGGTGAGTGGGTGAGACCAGAGTATTCCCCTAGATCTTTTCTGAAGAGTTGCCTGAGGCTAGGTTGTGTCTCTAGTCTATATAGGTCATCTTTCCTCTCAAGGATACCCTGTTACCAGTTTTCCATCATTCCATTGATCTGGCAACCAGAGGCCTGGGGTTGGGAACAGTTCCATCCCTGTTACTAGCTCTGGGTTCCTCTCAAGCCCTTGCAGTTCACCTCTGCTCCCACAAATGCCACTGTAAACAAACCCTCTTCAAAGGTTCCATCTGTTTGTTTTTGGGACTCAGGTCCTGAGGGAATAAATGAGTAAAGGGATGAATTCTGTGGAAGATGCTTTGGGGAGGAGGGAGAGAAAATAGGGACAAATAACTCTGTGGACAGTGCATACAAATTCTCTCTCAGAAGCTTACGATGTGAATAGTTAAGTGTTAGAGTTTTGTGGTAACCTGTTCAACTACCATTTATGTTTAATGAACAGCATACATAGTTGGAGGTATAAGTAAAAGAGTGGAGAGAAATGAAGAGAGACTACCTACGTAAGTGGGTGTGGGATATAAAGGCCATCACGATTTATTCACAGTGTAGCCAGTGTTGTGGCTAAATGTGACATGCTGATAAAGGTAGACCCAGCTAAACACCAGCCCCAGCACTGACCTGGCAATAGTTACATAAGTCAATTCACAGGGCTCAAAAACCTCCTGTTATACTTTTGACAATTCTATAAATTTATAAGTAATCAAGCTAAGGTATTATTATAAATTCCAACTCTCTAAATTGCATAATCTTAATATAATTATAATACAACATAATTTTACAGGTGCTACAGGATTACACAGAAATGCTCCAAAAGAACGGAACATACTTGCTATAAAACAAAAACATTCCATCCCTAAATCAAATGGGCAAGAGCTGTCTGCTCTTTGCAAGGAATTGTGCCTTTTGTCACAAGATTAGCAGGTCTGCAGAGGAAAGAAAAGAATTAAGCATCATTATCAGTTAAAGTCACCAGTAATTTCTGCAATGAAATAGGCCAACCATATTCAGGAATTATCACGAAAACACTCACTTTCTAGGTGAATTATTACTGAATTAATATTAACCCCTGGGCTTTGTATGTAGGGAATATTATTTAAAAGTCGCTAATGTAAGGAGATATGCTACTGATCTTTTAATCTGATCACATCCAGGAAGAGTTACTTGCCCTGGGGTCTGAGCTACATTGTAATAAAATCAAAGGACATAAAAACTGTGGCAGGAACAGTACTGAAATTGGAGAAGCATCATTATGAATAGCAACAAGTATGGAGATGCACATGTAAGAGGGTAACTGGAGTCAATATAACCACTGTTCTTCCATGATTTAGGGTAAATAGATGGTTATGGCTCATCTGCTAAACAATCTACTGGGTAGATGTTTATGGATTATTGAACAGTATATTATTGAGGATAAGCCTGGTTAAAAACAAATAGAGAAATGAGCAAATGGCACAGAGAGGCTTTTAGTAAGGCCATCATTTGTAATACTTCTCAGGAAAAATCTCTTTCAGAAATTCCTCAGCATAGCTAATGTAACATAGAAGGACTCTCCATTTTAAGAGTGCATAAATCCTCACAAATTGCTATAATAAGGATTCATCCCATAGCCCTTTTGGCATAAATGCACATCTGGTCTCTGTTTGCAATGAAATCAATTCAAAGCCCCACAGTGCATTAATAATAAAAATGTTCAACATATTGCAACCAAATAAGCCCTGCAAATTTGAGTCTGTAAGATTCTGTCACATGTGTGTATACTTTTAACACTGATAAATGATTAGGTTACAGAACATTTATCAAATGGATTAAGATTCCAAAGGTAGACTTTTTTTTTTGTAATTATTATTTCCACAGGAAAATCCATATGTATATAAGCTAGAAGCTTTTGCTTGCTTGATTTGTAATACCTCTTGGACTTTTATATCTGTAGTTCACAATACCATAAAAATTTTATTAATAATAAAATTATCATAAGCAATACTGCCTGGCTTAGAGGAAGGACATGGATTTCCCCTTTAAGAACAACAAAATTCTAGAATTAGCTCATAGTATATTAGGCTTGTCATTAAATCTTAAATTAAAATAAAATGGAGAATTTTTTCCACATTAATTTAAAAAATTATTGACTATTTTGTTTTCAGCAGTTATAATCAACAACAGAGGATCTAGATCTGGCAAAGCCTTCCTCGTCAGTGACATGATTTACCTTCTGTGTTATATGGCTGACCCAAGGAGAAGAACAGTTGCTAAGGTCTGGTCCTTGGGGATCCCAGATTCCATCAGGAGCCAGGCATAGATAAGTTGATACTCCTAAAATAGTGAGAGAAATAGGTCTGTTTCAAATGTTCAAACCATCTTTCTTATAATGACTTTATATCCATAATAGGTTCAAATATGAGCAAAGGTAAGACTATTATCATTAAACTGAGGTAATGTCTATTAAAACACCATGTACAGTGCCTAGCAAGCAACTGGCATTAGAGAAACATAATACAACAAACACTCATGTTTTTAAAGCATTTGCTGACAACTATACCAGGTACAGGGAATAACTTCATGAATTAGATGAATGTGGTACCTGACTCCATGGGGCTTACTGCTTGAGTTTTCAGAGGCAAGGTAGCGGTTGAGTCTTAAAGGAATCAGTTTGCAGGTTTTTCAGGAAAACAAGGTGGGTAAGGGCATTCCAGGCAAAGGAAAAATATGCTATCTTTGGGAATCATCAAGTGTTTTGAACTGAGGTCTACTGGGTAGGGGAGTTGTATTTAATGGAGTTGGAATGGCTGGCAGAGCCAGATCATAAACGCCCTTGTCTGTCATCTGTAGGTGATGGAAAATCAATGAAGACCATTACTGAGAGGAGACAAATGGGCTGATTTAGGCTGTAGAAAGATAACTGTAGCAGGAGCATGGAGGATGAATTTCAGGGAGTGATATGGAAGTTGTGAGGAAGCTATTGCAATAATTCAGGTGAGAAAAGACTGTGTGGGCCTTGAACAGGGGGCACAGCAGAGGGGACAGAGAAAGGGTAAAAAGAAGACCTCAGAGTAAGCACAGTCACCTGGGAGGGAGGGCTTCAGAAGGTTTCCTGTAAATCTCTTTCTCAATTTTCACAGAACAAGAACAACATATTTCTGTAGTGCTTTGCAGTTTGCAAACTGCTTTCAAATAAAGTATTTCACTAACCTCTACAACAAACATCTGAAGAAAGGGGGGCTGTTATTATTTCTCTTTTAGAGATAAAGGAACTGAGGTCCAGAACTAAGGGGACAGCGCTAAGAGAAAAGTTCAAAATGTTTTCTGATTCCAATACCACAGAAAACTCTGGAACTAAATATTGTGCCCCTTCATAAAGGGAAGGAAGATCTCAGAATATTTTTAAACACTTTGATGAAAACAAATTAAATGTGCACTTTTATATATCTTCTTATCTTCCCACCACTTCATATACCATGGCATTCAGAAGGATATTTCCACATTGAAATTTTGTTAAGACAAACCTATTGAAGTAACCAAATCAACAACACCCAAAATCACAGCCCCTAACAATGCTAGTCTAGTGACATCTATTATGCTTTTGTTTTATTTACACATTTTATGCAATAATGCAAATTTTATGCAGGGTGTCAAGTATTAGTTTTATGAAGATCAATATCTGTAACAGTAAGAAATCAAACTATTTCTGGCTTAAAATGGTAAATAATAATATGGTTACCATTTGGTGATATTATGAATCACATCAGCGAAAAGAAAAAAGGTGGGGGGACAGAGAGCTATCTAGTTCTTGACTATCTCCTAGAGAAAACAATGCAGGATTGATCTCTCTAGTGGATGCTGTGTAAGAGGAGGTTGGCTCCTGCCAGCATCATCCCTGACTATGTCAAGAGGCTCCAACTATTAAAGGACAGCTATGATGAATGGTAATAAAGGATAGTCAAATCTTCTCTTTCGTTAAATGTTAGGTAGTTTCAATGATCATCTAATACAGAAGTCCTTGATGTAGTTTTCTGCAATAAACATTTGACAATTGGTGACAAGCATGAGAACTAGCTCCTACCAATCCAGTGATTCACTCTGGGCTGTTGCATAGGTGAGCTGGCCCTTTGGAGTAGCTGGGACATCCATAGCTTAATTGTAACTTGACCTCACAGCATGGGTGAAAACTATTGATCTCACAGGTATTCCCACCAAATTCTCACCTGTGACTTCTTCAGGTTGCCATTCTCAAACTCTGAAAATACTTGGCTATAAATTGTAATTTAGCTGAGTCCAGAATTTAATCAAATGTTAAGTAACAAAACTATACTGTGAACAAAAAAAAAAAAAAAAAAAAAACTAGGAAAGCAAGCCAAAGTAACAATACACTTTTAGCTCAGCTTTGTAGGACAGACTTACCTATAGTTCCTGCAGGGCACGGCTGCTTTGCCATCTGTCCTTGACGGGTCTTAAACCACATGATTTCTCGAGCTTCCACAGCCTCACAGCTCTCTTCCAGAGCTGGAATTTGGGACGATCCTGACAGAAGGTGTGTGGTAATGTCGTCAAGTACCTCAGCTGCTGGAGATGGGGTGCTGGTATTCCGGTTTCTTCTTCCTGACACCGATGGGGTGGTACTCCTGCCTGGGTTCCAAGTTGTGGTCCGAAGGGTGGTACTGGTGGTGGTGCTTCCCGTGCCAAGAGGTCCTGCGGTAGAGATATCTGAAATAAAATTCAGAAGAAAACGCCTACATTGCTTGTTCACAGTAGGACCTAAAAATGTCCTAAGACTTCAGAAGTCATTTGTATTTGACAGTTCAACGAGCCTTAAACATGGGAAAAATAAGCCAATATCAAAATATCAGAGTGCTACTTGAATATCAAGACAGTCATTTGACTAATGCTAAATGTAGGCTTGTTTCTAGTTTTTCTCAACTTCAGTTACAGAAAACAAAGTTATAGCACAATTCAACTCTTCAGTAAGCTTTAAGAAGCTTCAGGCCTTTTGGACAATTAGGGGATTAAAACATTTAAAGCCCTCTCCTTAGAATCTTCAAATTCGGTATAGGAAGGGAGAGAGCTATATACAATATTTTTTCCACATTAACTATAACATGAATTTCTAAAGATGTAGCAAAAAAATAAAATCAGAAATTAAAGTGCTCACAAGCTAAAAGGTAAAGAGCAATTCTGAGTACAATATCCTTAACACGAATGCGAGTAGTGTGATTTACTCTGATGCTCTTAAAACAGACCCATTGTATCAAAACTTTCAAACTTCACATTAGTAACTTCCAATTAGTGTTCATAAATTATTCTCTAACTAGATTTTTAAAGGGGCATTTTCCAAGTTCCAGATAAAAGTGGTTAGGTTACTTGATCAGATATTAACAGGCTATTAAATCTATAATGTATACAAAGGAATGTCTTAATGATACTACAGAAATAATCACTGCAGAGAATTATCTTTCTGGTAAAATATATTCAGATTCCCATCACAGGAATGCAAGCGTGTACCAGGCCTCCACATACATATACTGCTTTCCTAACTGCAAGATTAGAAACTACTCTTAACCTCACTTACTGGCAATAAAGAGTGGAGGAACTGGCTCTGCTCAGATTCAAAGTAGCACAGGTTTAAGAAACTGAAGGGAGAACTGTGCTGAGCCTCCTGCTGTTTGTCATTCATGGTCTGCTTTACCATGTCATCAATTAGACTCTGCTGCCCCAGAAGAGATGTCAAATCCATCACAATGTATTTGGTGCATAAAATAGAATAGAGATGGCAGGGGGAGGGTCTATGAATTTTTCAAACATTTATTTTTTTAACATCTTTATTGGAGTATAATTGCTTTACAATGGTGTGTTAGTTTCTGCTGTATAACAAAGTGAATCAGCTATAGGTATACATATATCCCCATATCCCTTCCCTCTTGCATCTCTCTCCCACCCTCCCTATCCCACCCCTCTAGGTGGTCACAAAGCACCCAGCTGGTCTCCCTGTGCTATGCAGCTGCTTCCCACTAGCTATCTATTTTACATTTCATGGTGTATATATGTCCATGCTACTCTTTCACTTCATCCCAGCTTACCCTTCCCATGTCCTCAAGTCCATTCTCTATGTCTGTGTCTTTATTCCTGTCCTGCCCCTAGGTTCTTCAGAACCATTTTAAACATTTATTTAACCATTGAAATTGTAGCATTTCTGAAATGATACTATTTGCTATTTTGTCTTCTTGCTTGTTCTTCTGTTTCCTCTCCCCTTCTTCCTCCATTTGCTCTCGTGTTCCCTCTCCATGTGAATGGTAATGTTCATAACTACATTTACTCAAAGTTCATACAAGAAACCAGAGTATCCTTCTTTCCCCTTCTTTTTTCTGTATACACCATATCCCCCAAATTGCCAAGTCTGGCAGATTCTGTCTCATTTAAAAAATTTCTTGGAGACCTTCAACATGGCAGAGGAGTAAGATGTGGAGATTACCTTCCTCCCCACAAATACATCAGAAATACATCTACATGTGGAACAACTCCTACAGAACACCTACTGAACGCTGGCAGAAGACCTCAGACTTCCCAAAAGGCAAGAAACTGCCCACATACCTGGGTAAGGCAAAAGAAAAAAGGAAAAACAGAGACAAAAGAACAGGGACAGGACCTGCACCTCTGGGAGGGAACTGTGAAGGAGGAAAGGTTTCCACACACTAGGAAGCCCGTTCACTGGCAGAGAGAGGGACTGGCAGGTGGCGGGGAAACGCTGGAGCCACAAAGGAGTGCGCAGCAACAGAGGTGCAGAGGGCAAAGCGGAGAGATTCCTGTACAGAGGATTGGTGCTGACCAGCACTCACCAGCCCAAGAGGCTTGTCTGCTCACCCTCCTGGACGTGTGGTTGCTGGGAGCTGAGGCTCGGGCTTCAGAGGTCAGATCCCAGGGAGAGGACTGGGGTTGGTTGCGTGAACACAGCCTGAAAGGGGCTAGTGCACCACAGCTAGCCAGGAGGGAGACCTGGAAAAAGTCTGGAGCTGCCGAAGAGGCAAGAGACCATTGTTTTGGGGTGCGTGAGAAGAGGGGATTCAGAGCACTGCATAAATGAGCTCCAGAGACAGGCTCGAGCCACGTCTGTCAGCACGGACCCCAGAGATGGGCATGAAAGGCTAAGGCTGTTGCTGCAGCTGCCAAGAAGCCTGTGTGCAGTCACAGGTCACTATCCACACCTCTCCTTCTGGGAGCCTGTGCAGCCTGCCACTGTCAGGGTCCCATGATCCAGGGTCCCGTGATCCAGGGACAACTTCCCTGAGAGGACACACGGTATGCCACAGGCTGTCGCAATATCATGCCAACCTCTGTCACCAGAGGTTGGCCCCGCATTCCGTACCCCTCCCTTCCCCTGGCCTGAGTGAGCCAGATACGCCTAATCAGCTGCTCCTTTAATGCCGTCCTGCCTGAGCAAAGAACAGATGCCCTCAGGTGACCTACATGCAAAGGGAGGGCCAAATTCAAAGCAGAAACCCAGGAGCTGTGCGAACAAAGAAGAAAAGGGATATTTCTCCCAGCAGCCTCAGGAGCAGTGGATTAAATCTCCACAATCCACTTGATGTACTCTGCATCACTGGAATAGCTGAATAGACAATGAATCATCCCAAAATTGAGGTGGTGGACTTTCGGAGCAAATGTAGACATGGGGTTTGCTTTCTGCATCTAATTTGTTTCAGGTCTTATGTTTATCTTAGTTTAGTATTTAGAGTTTATTATCATTGGTAGATTTATTGATTTGGCTGCTCTCTTCTTTATATATATATATTTTTTTCTTTTTTCCTTTTTCTCTTTCTTGTGAGTGTGTATGTGTATGCTTCTTTGTGTGATTTTGTCTGTATAGCTTTGCTTTTAACATTTGTCCTAGGGTTCTGTCTGTTTTTTTTGTTTGTTTTGTTTGTTTGTTTTAGTATTGTTTTTAGCGCTTATTATCATTGGTGGATTTGTTTTCTGTTTTCATTGCTCTCTTCTTTCTTTCTTATATTTTTATTACACTAATTTTTTTATGTTTAATAATTTAAAAATTTTTTAAATTTTAATAACTTTCTCTTCTTTCTTTCTCTCTCTCTCTCCCTCTGTCTCTCTCTGTGTCTCTCTCTCTTTCTCTCTCTCTCTCCCTTTTCTTCTCATCCATGTGGCTCAAAGAGTCTTCGTGCTCCAGCCAGGTGTCAGGCCTGTGCCTCTGAGGTGGGTCAAAAAGAGACCTCCCGGCTCCACGTGATATCAAACAACAAAAGCTCTCCCAATATCTCCATCTTAACGCTAAGACCTGGCTCCATTCAACGACCAGCAAACTCCACTGCTGAACACCCTATGCCAAACAATTAGCAACACAGGAACACAACCCCACCCATTAGCAGAGAGGCTGCCTAAAATATAAAAAGGTCACAGACACCCCAAAACACACCACCAGACATGGTCCTGCCCACAAGAAAGACAAGATCCAGTCTCATCCACCAGCACACAGGCACCAGTCCCCTCCACAAGGAAGCCTAGATAACCCACTGAACCAATCTTAGCCAGTGGGGGCAGACACCAAAAACAACGGGAAATATGAACCTCCAGCCTGCAAAAAGGAGACCCACAACACAGTAAGTTAAGCAAAACGAGAAGACAGAGAAATATGCATCAGATGAGGGTGCAAGGTAAAAACCCACCAGAACAAACAAATAAAGAGGAAATAGGCACTCTACCTGAAATAGAATTCAGACTAATGATAGTAAAGATGATCCAAAATCTTGGACATACAATGGAGAAAATATAAGAAAAATTTAACAAGGACCTAGAAGAACTAAAAAGCAAACAAACAATGAAGAACAACACAATAAATGAAATTAAAAATTCTCTAGAAGGAATCAATAGCAGAATAACTGAGGCAGAAGAACAGATAAGTGACCTCAAAGATAAAATAGTGGAAATAACGACCACAGAGAAGAATAAAGAAAAAAGAATGGAAAGATTGAGTGTCAGAGACCTCTGAGACAACATTAAATGCACCAACATTTGAATTATAGGTGTCCCAGAAGAAGAAGAGAAAAAGAAAGGGATTGAGAAAATATTTGAAGAGATTACAGTTGAAAACTCCCTAATATGGGAAAGGAAATAGTCAATCAAGTCCAGGAAGTGCAGAGTCTCATACAGGATAAATCCAAGGAGAAACATGTCAAGACACATATTAATCAAACTATCAAAATTTAAATACAAAGAAAAAATATTTAAAGCAGCAAGGGAAAAGCAAAAAATAACACAAAAGGGAATCCCCATAAGGTTAACAGCTGATCTTTCTGCAGAAACTCTACAAGCCAGAAGGGAGTGGCAGGACATATTTAAAGTGATGAAAGGGAAAAAACTACAACCAAGATTACTGTACCCAGCAAAGATCTCATAGAGATTTGATGGAGAAATTAAAACCTTTACAGACAAGCAGAAGCTAAGAGAATTCAGCACCACCAAACCAGCTTCACAACAAATGTTAAACGACCTTCTCTAGGCAGAAAACACAAGAGAAGGGAAAGAACTACAATAACAAACCCAAAACAATTAAGAAAATGATAATAGGAAACATACATATAGATAATTACCTTAAATGTAAATGGATTAACTGCTCCAACCAAAAGACATAGACCAGCTGAATGGATACAAGAACAAGACCCATATATGTGCTGTCTACAAAAGACCCACTTCAGACC